GGGGGGGGGGGCGAAGATGCGGCGAGGCCCGGCCCCGAGGGAGGCCTGCCATGGGACGCACCAGCGAACAGCTTGATGGCCACGGTGTCCGGGCAGTCGAGCCGCGCACGGATGCCGGCCCCGACCGCCCGGGCCGAGTAGACGCTGGCCTGCTTGCCCTCGCCGAGGTGCATGTCCACCGGGGCGAAGTCCGCCTCGATGTCCACAAGCGCGCGCCCGGGAAGCGAGAGCTCTGCCAATCGGGGGTCAGCAACCGAAGGGTCTTTTCTTCCTCCACCCACTCCCGAGCCAAAGGAAGCGGAAGGCAGGGAAAGGCGTACCGACAATCGTATTCAGGACGGTGGCATGTTCTGCGGCCCGACCGGTGCGTGCGTGCGTGCGTGCGTGCGGGTGTGTGCGTGAGTAAGTGGGGGCCTCCGGCCGGGGTGCGGGGGGGGGGAGAAGCAGCGCGGGGAACCCGCGGGGGCCGAGCCAGCGCACCATCCAGCTCTTCGGGGGCCTGTGTGCCACCGGCGCAGGCAGGAATGGCCAGGAGGGGGGGGGGGGATGGTGCACGCGCGCGATTGTCAGTATCCAGGGAGGTCACGGTGCGCGAAAGGGGGGGGGGGACGCATTCACGGGGCGCACCTTGGCCCGGCGGGCCCGGCGCACGCGGCACCACGCCACAAGCAGCAGCAGCAGCAGCAGCAGCAGCAGCAGGCTCAGGCCCAGGCCCAGGCCCAGGGCCAGCGAGGCGGACCGCCCGGCCGGCCGGGGCCATGCCGTGCAATCCTCCTCCCGCGGCCCGAGGCACTGGTCGCAGTCCCGCGCGCAGGGGGCACACTCCAGGCCGTCCTGGAAGAGGCCGGTCGGGCACTCGGCCACGCAGGCGAAGACGGCCGAGGAGTGGTCCGCCGGCCGCAGCAGGACCAGCCCGTCGGCACAGCGCCGGCACTCGGTGGCCAGCGGGCAGAGCAGCTCGCCGCCGGTGGCCGCGCTCGGCCCGTCGCACTCGGACGGCAGCCCGCTCGACAGGGCGCACTCCTCGCAGTGGGCCACCGCGCAGGGGAGGCACACGCCGCCGGCAGTGGGCCCGACATACTTGGCGCCGGGGCAGCGGCCGCCGGCCAGGCATGCCCGGGTGTCCCCGAGCAGCAGGGCCCCCGGGCTGGCGCACACCGTGCACCGGCTGGCGGCCAGGGCGCACTCGGCACACAGGGCCCTGTCACAGGCCCAGCAGGCGGCGGCCCCGGGCGGCAGGAACTCCCCCGGCGGGCAGTGCTCCAGACACCGGTCGCCATCGGCCGAGGCGACGTGCCCCGGCGCGCAGGCCGTGCAGAAGGGCCCGGCCCCGGAGTCATGGCACACCCGGCAGCCAGGGACCCCGGCCGGGGCTGGCCGGTCGCAGGGCAGACACTCCCGGCCGGGGCCGGCCGGCGAGGCCGGCTCCGGCCGGCCGGGCCACCACCCCTCCGGGCAGGACCCCTCGCACGCACCGGCCGGCGTCAATGCCAGCCCCTCTGGGCAGGCGGTGCAGCCCCCCGGCCCGGGGCCCGCGCACTCGGTGCACGAAGCATGGCACTCGGCGCAGAGGGAGGCCCCGGTGGCCGGGTCCTGCTGGAGGAAGGTGCCGGCCGGGCAGCGCGCCGTCAGGCACCGGTCATTGACCAGCGGCACGCCGGCCGGGCAGGCAGTGCACCGGTCGGCCGTCTGGCAGCCCTGGCAGTCGGCCGTGCACGGGGCACAGGCCCCGGCCTCCGGGTAGTAGCCCTCCGGGCAGGCCCCGGCCCCCATGCACCGGCCGCCATGCAGCAGGCTGTCGGGCCCGGCGCAAGCCAGGCACTGGTCCTCGCGCGGCCCGGCGCACTGTGCACAGGCCCCGGCACAGCCGACGCACGACCCGCCCACCGGGGCACTGGCCCCCGGGCAGGAGGAAACACACGGGTCCGGGTCCGGGCCCGGGCCCGGGGGCCGGAGGAGCATGTTGCGCTCGCACTGCGAGCAGGCCAGCGGCCCGGCCTCGCACACCAGGCAGCCGGCGCCGCATGGCGAGCACACGCCCCCCGGGCCGGGGAAGCTCCCCAGCGGGCAGGCATCCAGGCACCGAAGGCGCCGGCCATCGGACCCGGGCACCGGCACGCCGAAGAGCCCGGCCCGGCAGGCGGTGCACTCGGTCGACCGGACCCCCTGGCAGGTGGCACACGTGAAGTGGCAGGCCTGGCAGCGGCCGGCCACCGGGACGAACCCCCCGGCGCAGGCCTGCTGGCAGTGGCCATCCTGCGCCACGTGCTCCGGCCGCGAGCAGTCCCAGCAGCTGGCATCCCCGGGCCCGATGCACGCCGAGCAGGAGGCATGGCAGGCGACACAGGGAAGCCCCGGGGTGGTGGCGTCGCGGAATTGCCCGGCCGGGCAGGGCCACCGGCAGGCGCCGGCCTCCAGCACCAGCCCCGGCGAGCAGGTCAGGCAGCTGTCCACCCCGGGCCCGGTGCAGGTGGCACACTCATCGGCACAGCGAGCGCACTCCGGCCCGTCCGGGAAGTGGCCGGCCGGGCAGGACCCGGCGCAGCGCCCATCCGGCGTCAGCACCAGCCCCGGCTGGGAGGCCCCGTCGCATGACAGGCACTGGCCGTCGGCCGAGCAGGTGGCACACCCGGCCGGGCAGCCGACACAGGCCCCGGGCAGGGGGCCGGCCGGCCGCCACCCCGGCGCACAGCGCGTGCACCGGTCCGCGCCGCCGGCACACAGGTGGCACCCCGCGCCGCAGGCCCGGCACTGCTTGGTGTCCATGGTGTCGGGGAATTCCCCCACCGGGCAGGCATCCGTGCAGAGGGCGGCCCCGGCCGTGGGGAAGACCCAGCCCGGCTGGCAGACGGTGCAGGCATCCGGCCGCCGGCACTCGGCGCACGACCCATGGCAGGCCGTGCACACCAGATCCGCATCCGGGAAGCGCCCGGGCTCGCACGATGGCAAGCACCGGGGGAGATCCGGCACCGGGCGCCCGGCCGCATGCGGGCCCAGGCCATAGCCCCGGGAGCAGGCCGTGCAGTGAACATGCCCGGAGGTCGGGTCCACCTGGCAGCCGGTGCAGCCCTTCGGGCAGAGCTGGCACTGCTGAGCCCCGGGGTATTGCCCCTCGGGGCAGGTGCCGGTGCAGAGGCCCCGGTCCTGGGGACGCGCCGGGGCCAGGAACACCATGCCCTCGGCACACGTGTCGCACGCGGTGGCCGAGGAGCAGGTGGCACATGTGGCCGCGCAGGCGGTGCACACGTCGGCCACCGGGAAGGTGCCCATCGGGCAGCCCCCGACACATGTGCCCGCATGCAGTACAAGG